TGTCAGGCTGAACATTCCCTGAGCCTTACTAAAGAAAAGGGGTTCAGCGTTGTGCCGAAACCAACCGCCCCCCCCACTCGGTAATTACCCCATTACGTGTTAGCGGCGGATGGAACTGTTACAGATGTTTTATGGCGGGGAGCCCTTTTCATTTTGTCTCCCTGATGAGGGACAGATTTATGGTGTACTCGACGATGCCATTCAAGAGTGCAATATATATATATATATATTGTTGCTGAAAGACTCAAAAGCTTGGATTTTGATGATTTGCAATTAAATGTTTCAAGCTCATTGCAATAGTGCATACCAGACTTTATAACTTGTACTCAACATAAAATTTAGTTGACAGTGTGATCAAATTATAAAAACAAAACATCTGCCAGGGTGAATTTCAGGTCATTTACCCTCAAAAATAAAAATAAGAATTATATTTTGCTTCAAGAATAGGACAGGTTTAGGATAAAGTTTATTTTTTTTATTGGATTGAAAATATTCTCATTATCGTAATTTTGTCATTGGTGGTTATTGTTACATTCTTATTTCGGATGCAAACAGGATTCAAATCTGCTGTAAAGTAGCTCAAAAAAAGACAATAGTAAAAAGTCATTATTTAGTTGAAATCAGCTAATTGTTGAAGATAATAACAAACGCAAACACCTGCACTTGTTCTTTGATTCACCTATGTTGTCAGGTAAGTTAATATTAAATACTTGTAATACCTAATAGTAATATTGCATAATAATTTAATTAACTTAACATTAACTTTGCAATCTTATAAACAGGCGAGCTTATGAATTTAAAGCAAACGCTTTTTTTTTTTTTTTGGAGCAGGAGAGTTTCTCTTTGTGACTGATGAGGCATTTCTCTTCCAGCTAAGGGTTGAGAGTTGTCAGGTACAAGTCTTTTAGCCAACAAGGTCAAAGGAGGAACAGTTGACATTAATCATTTACCAGTGTGATACAATAGGGACCTGAGAGACTAGATAGCCCGGTGCAGCCAGGACTCTGTGAGCCAAACACATGCTCATCAAGTCCTAGATAAAACACAGGCTGACAACACCACAGCTCAGCGCAAATCAATCAAAACAGATGCTGATTGTGTCACACGTTCTTAAAGTCATTTAAGATAGAGAAGAATTCTAAATAGAACTAATAATTGAATTCATTAGTATTTAGGACGAATGTCATGGATTTTTTGTTGCATTTTCCAGAAATTGATGCATCTGAAATGCATCGCTAGAATTCAAAATGCCACGTTTTGCAAAGGTTGCAGCAGTTTTTGCCAAAACAGTTCATTTTCCCATTAAATTCTTAGTGTGCCATGATCCTCTTCCTGTCTAAGCAGATGTAACTTCATCTTCCTCATGCTTTTGTCTTTTTTTTCTGTCTCCCATCACCTAAGAATGAGAGTGAGCGAGCGAGAGAGCGTCTCTCCAGCGTGATATTTCTGTTTGCAGAAGTCTGACCTTTTTCTGAACTGTTCTTAAGTGAAAGGCACTTTCAGCTGTGGAATCAGATGGCAGTAACCATATGCTGCTCAACTGATACAAAGGTGGAAAGGGAGGGAGGTTAGAGAGTCGGCATGCTGTGGTGAAAAGGAAAGTGTCGTGCCACTTCTCTTTGTGGCGGTAAGGGGTCTGTTGGTGCGTGTGTGTGTTAGCGTTTGACGGGACGTGCTGACAAACACACAGACGGTCCGCTTTGCCGTTGAGATAGTGCTTTAACATGGATGAGTGCCGTGAGCAAACGGAATTCTTTCCTTTGTGGACCACTTTGTATGAGAGTGTGTTTGCATGGGTTTGAGTGTTCAATAGTGCATGTAAGTGGGTGGGTCTGTGTTTGCCTGCAGATGAGGGACTCTGAATCTCCTGGTTCGGGTGTAATAAACTCCTCTTGACCCTTGGGTTCACTGAAGCTGGGAGGCAGACTCTCCCTCTTCTTGATCCTGTTCCTCCCTGGGCTGCTGGCAGGAGGGCCGCTGACCGCCCTGTTTGATTGGCTCAGAGAATGACAGAGATAGAGAACTAGGGCCAGCTGTGAGTGGTCAAATGCCACTAACACACTGCTCTCAACTGGCTATAATTCATTGCCTAGATTTTACAAAATGTCAGCAAAAATGTCTTTAAAGTCAACATTTTACTGTCATTTTATGTTCTTCTGAGTGAAACTGGATATTCAGTAAGTATAAATGGAGGCAAAGACTTGATTTTTTCCATTGGGAATTTATTGGATCATAACATTAGACGTTACATAACAAAATATAGTTGTGTACTTACCTGTGTACTTACATAGTAACTAGATGTGTACGTAGTATGTAACCACAGTGCAAGTACACATTGGTACATAGTATCTACAGCTGTAATGTTTGTGTAACTACACATATGTAACAACCCACTGAATGGTTTGTGTAAATACAAATGTGTAACAGGACATGTATAACTACATTTTGTAACGACAATATGTATAAGAGTAATTGGAACAATTTGATCCAGGGGGTGGAGATGGGTAGGTTTAGGGATATGTAAAGTGGGAGGAGTTGGATCTCAAGTTGGTGGAGTTGGTGCACCACTGTGATACCAGTGTATTTACATGGTAACTCCTCTGGAACTGTCCACTTAATATAAAGTGTAACATTCTGACCACCAACCACAATTTATATGTAAAGCCTAACTTACTGGCCGCTGCTGTGTAACATCAGAGTAATTACGTGGTAAATCCATAGGAATTGTTTACTTAATATAAAGTGTAACACTTTCTTTACCAAAAAGTGCTGTTAGTCCTGTTACACATTTGTATTTTCATTACCAAAGAGTGTTTACCAATGTCCTGTTACACATTTGTATTTACACATACCATTCAGTGGGTTGTTACATATGTGTAGTTACACAAACATTACAGCTGTATATACTATGTACCAATGTGTGCTTACACTGTGGTTACATACTATGTACACATCTAGTTACTATGTAAGTACACAGGTATTAGGGCCACTTAATATAAAGTGGGACCCATTCACTAAGACCATAAAGGTGCATTAAGAAAGTAAAAAAGACACTTTTGATTTCATGTTGACTTTAAAATCAAGCACTGAAATATATTAACGCAGTACAGTGACCGAGAGAGCTGAACCCAAATCCACATCACAAATCCACAAATCGACATCAACAATAAAATATAAGGCAAGCATTTTTCTCCCTTTTAAAGTTGATTCTGCAATCCTATCAGAACAAACCCGTTATAGGTTTGAACCGCTGAACTGAAAGATACTCTTGTTGTTCCAAACCCATACAATGTTCTTTTTGATGTGGAACACACAAGGTGAAATTTTGAATAATGTTATGCAGAATAAACACAGCTATTTCCATACAATGAATTCATTCTGAGATCAAGGACTGTCAAGCTCCAAAAAAAGCACTATTTTAGTAGCATAAAAATTTATACTTTTAATTCAGCAGTGAGAAGTGAGAGTAAAGGCAATTATGTTACTAGATATTTCTGTTTCAAATAAATGCTGTTCTTTGGGCTTTCTATTCATCAAAGAATCCTGAGAAAAAGGTATCATGGTTTCCACAAAAATATTAAGCAGCACAACTGTTTTTAACACTTATAATAATAAGAAATGGCTGCTGAAAATTCAGCTTTGTCATCAAAGGAATAAATTAAATTTTGAAATATATTACAACAAAAATAAGGAATTTTACGTAATTACTGTTTTTACTGTATTTTTGATTAAATGAATGCAGCCTTGATGAGCATAAGAGACATCTTTTAAAAACATTCCCCTTCATAAGGATCTCTTCGAGATTCAACACACACACACACACACACACACACACACGCTATCATAATCGGCAATATGGGGAGGGAAAGGAGGGGGATGAGAGGAAGAGGAAGGATGTTAGTTACAGGAGCAACATTAATTCATTCCTCCAGCTCCTCTTTGAAGAGCACAGGCAGCTATGACAGGCTAAACGCTTCCAGAGATGTCACATTTCCAGACAATCTTAAAGAGCTCGAGCCTGCACTCTTCCTTTCATGTTTGATTCTGTTTTCAAGATTCTATGATAAACAGACGAGGACGGGCTGGGGGAAGGAGAGAGAGAGACAGAGAGACAGAGGGCGACAGGGAGGAGGGCAAGTCTATGCTGTCAGGGGAACCAGATGCCTTTGCAAATTGGCTCTTTGTCTGTTTCATAAGGGTTTGGAAACACCAAATTAAGTCCAAATTAAGACCTGGTATTTGCCTTCAGCCTTCTAGGATTGCAAGGATAGTGCACTGAATCCAATTAATTTGTGTTTTCAGGTCACCAGATCATGCCTTCAAATGTACAGTGGTCAGGTAAACTATTCTTCACATGCTGCCAGCACTGCAGGAAACTGAAATCCATTCTGATCAAAAAGATGAATTTGTTGTTTCTGGTTATAAAAGAGACATGAAATGGTGAGCCAGCACTCTACTAAACTTGTTTGTACAAAATAATAGCAAAAAATGTCATTGAAGTCAATGTGAATTGCAGTTTACAAACCAATTTACTTTATTTTGATGTGAAACAGGATATTTAAACATAGAAAAAAAATTACGGCGGGGCTTGTTTTTATTCATCAGGAGTTGATTAGATGGTGAAAAGTGTGCATTACTTATCTGGATTGAGCCAAATTAAATGCTAAGGGTGACCCTAACAAAAATTACTGTTGTGGTATTACTGTAAAGTGATTCTATCAGACGGTAATATGCTGTTGAGACTACTATGGTATTTTTTACATGCACCATATGGTGTGCCTGGAAGTACCATGTAAAAACCATTTTGAATGAATTGCCATGATATATTTATTGTGGTATTTTAGCCATGTACCATGGATTGGCCTCATGTCTCACATGGGACGAAGAGGATGAAGTAGTAAGTACTTCATGGTGCTATCATGGTTTTCTTGGTAGATGCTTGGTATATGCTAAAAAATTTGGTAGTATTATAGTATTTTGTTAGTGTAGATTTATTTAAATTTAAGTATTATGTTCTTGTACAGTAGTTTGTAACCTGTAACTGACACTAAGTCCCTTTGAATGAAAGCATCTCCCAAATGTATGGTAATGTAATTCTGCTTGACAATCATTGCCATCTCTTCCTCACTCTCTATTACAGTCTATCAATATAGTGGCAGAAACACCATTAGATGTTTCAGAGAGGTGTAACTAAAATACATTTAAGATACATATGTGCCTGAGCAGTTAAAGGACTGAGTTCACCGGGAAATGTTCCGCGTGGCATTGTGCTCAAATTTAAGAGTAAATGTGAGCCAGAGAAAATCATGTGGTGAGTTTAACCACATCCTTTGACATCTCAAACCTACCCCCTCCTCTCTTGCTCTGAGGTCTGTGGAGTATTCTGTGTCCTAACACAGTGTTAGGGGGCAATAAAAGCCTTTGGGGAAACAGAGCATTTCCAGCCAAACTCCGGAAAAGAGGCAGTAAAGGGGATGCTAACCCAGGCAAAGAAAGAGAGAGAAGGGAAAAAAAATGGAGCACCCATAAAAATAACATCATAAAAATACCAGAACAGTAGTGAAACATCTTTTCATTATTCTTAATAAAAGCCCTAAACAAGTCCTCAATAATGGGTAAGGTTTCATAACAAGGGACTGGTTAAACGTCTATGAATCTTGTTAAAAGATACTGGTTCGAGAGAGACTGCGTAGGGGCCGCCGAGCCGTTACATGGTCTGTTACGGTGATGGGTCACTCGATAAATCTACCTTGTGCTTCCTTCAGCAGGGCGGATGGAGCACATGCTCATCGTGATGCTCTGGAAAGCACGTGGAAGGTAAAGTGAGGTGCCTTCACATGGACTTCAAGGAATCTTCTTGGACGAGCTGAGAGGGCAGTGAGGTAGGTCTGGATGCTAGCAGAGGTGACTGAGTTCCCACAGGCTGGTGGTGCAGGGATTTTGGCAAAGATTGGGGGGGCTCCTGGTGGGTTTGGTATGAGGAGAGGGCATTCCAGAGTTCCAGCCAGGCTGATCGGTGATTGCTACTCCTCCTCTTCGCTCCGAGGCAATGCACTGGCCCCGAGCAGCAGGATGCCCTCCTGACTGGCATGTCTCATTAAGTGGAGTGAGTGGTGAGAAAACGCGAGAATGGCCCAAGGAAGCCACTTTACATAACGAACACTCCTAATAAATGGCTGCATAGTACGTTTCTTCAGGTATAGTCAATGCTGTAATCAAACTAGATGCAAATATACAAACAAATGTTGACTTAAAGGTCAAGAAAGGACGTGTAAAAAGAGATGAGCATCTCTGACTGAATGAGTAATGTGCAGTCCAAGAGGAAAATTAGATTGAAAGCAGCTCACTGGCTCCATCAACAGGCTGCTGATCTGAATGACGTGCCCTTGGGCCAATTGCATTGCTTAGTGCAACAGCCATTAGCCAGGTTAGGTGTGAAGCACCACTGACCTCTGGAAACTGGGACACATCTTCAGAACATGTGGCAGGGTGTTCAATGTCCTTTTAGGGACTTAAGTAAATGATTGTGGATCTATTTTATTATTATTTTTTTTAATCACTCTTTGCGCTTTTGGTGTTCATTTTATTTTTGAGTTTGCTTTCACAGAAGATATTTAATTCAAATTCATTTCGCTCAAAATGTTGGTCTTTCATTGCTCATGATACTTAATGTGGTTGTCACTGTCTTTTGGGGACTTAATTTAATGATTGTGTAGCTTTATATATATTATAAATTCTTTATTTAATATATATAAATATATATAATTTAATATATATATAAAATTCTTTTTTAATTTCAGCGACAATTCATATATTGAAATCATATTACATAAAAGCTAAATTTCAATGAATGAAAAAAATGAATGCATAGAAATGATACATTATACACAAAAGCATTGAGTATGTTTGCCTTCGCAGTATTTTTTTTTATTGCTAAAAATGTTGCTCCTTAATTGCTTATGACACTTCATGTGGAGTTTTATGTCTTTATAGGAACTTAATTTAATTATTGTTTATTTATTTATTTTTCTATAGGGACAATTCACAATTCATGTAACATTTCAGCTGTAGTCCTAAGGCTGCAGAATATTCATTTAAAAAGTTATGATTTATAAAAATACTAAATATATTAAATAAACTCTCTAAAAGCAAAAAATATACATTATACACAAAAGCATTCATTTTGTTTTGCTTTCCCAGAAGATATTTTATCGCTAAAAAAGCCCTTTAATTGCTCATGAGACTTCATATAGTTGTCAGTTATGTTTCACTTCTACTCCACTACATTCAGTGGTTCACCATTATAGTCTGCATATGACACAGTATTGCAGAATTTTGTATATCTCAATTTTTCAGCAAACTCCCACAAGACACCAGGTTTAAAACTCTTTTTTATTAAGCCCATTGTGTATTAAAAGAGATATTGGCAGAGCAGAGAGTTCACGTTTAAAACACTGAGTAATAACAATCCTGAAACAGACAAACAAAAGCTTTCCAGCACACAGAACTGTGTCAATAAAAGCCTGGATTTACAGACATGTCAATTTTATGAGTTGGCAGTCGCAGGACCAACACTCTTCTCTTACTGTGCGCTGGTCACATGAAATGGCTCAAGTGTTTATGTAGCCTGTGGCAAAGCTCTGCTCTTGGTTACAACAGTGCTGGCGTGACAAGATGCTTCCGGATGAAGTTTATGATAAAATTGTGGTTTCACATCCCATAGGAAGAAAAAATCACACATGAGATCTTTTTAATATCTTAGTTGTTGTTGTTTTTTAGGCCGCATTGTGTTTAGATGGAAATTCTCCTTCTCAGATGTTATCCTTTGTAATTTCAAATATACTTTTGGGTTTTCAGAAGAGACCTGTTCTTGTATTTGCAAAGGTAGCAAAATTTACTATCAGAAGTCAAATATTTGAATATGAACTCAAACATTATTCATTAAATACTTCCAAAACCAAATTTCTTGAACTTCAGCTGATGAAATGTACACTTAAACCAGCCTAAGATGGTTTTGGCCACTTAAACCACCTAAGACCCCTCTGAAATCAGCCAGTCAGAGCAGTCTGACCGGGACCAGCAAATTAGTTTAGACTGGTTTAAGGTATTTTATTTATTTATTTTATGTATGCTTTATATATTGACTATATATCAACAATCAGTTGAATTTGTTTCTATTTTACCTAAGGAATTGTATGAGAAACATTTAAGACAAAGTTGATACTTAAATGTTGCTGATAACCACATAAAGTCTCATGAGCAATGAAATAGCAATGTTTTTAGCAATACAATTTTCCTCAGGGAAGACAGACCTGTAACTTCTGAAGCTCTTGATGCTTACCCTGGTGATATGTTTTTTTCTCTTACTAGGATAAAAAGAGAACTTTTCCAGTATATAAAAGCATTACGCACAGCGTTGCTGTAAACAGCGTTTTCGAACAGACACAGCTCTGACTATATACATGGAACAGGATAGTGGCAATCTGCTTTAAGTGATGTCATGTTGCCGGGGATGGGGTCTCCCACCCCAGCTCAGCGGGGAGATTTTACAAGGGACACTATGATCTCACATACTGCCCTAGGATCAGTGTTCGGCCTGTGGGGGAGTTCTGCAGTGCGGTGTGTGTTTCTCTGCCAAGCACAACTCTAAGTAAATAAACAGTGGAACATTAAAAGCCTGGCCCATTCACCTCTGTACCGCTGCATTAGATTGTGCAAACATACATTCATCCACAGTTAGCGCTGACACTGTGCTCTGGAGTTTGGTGATGATTCTTTCCTGCAGTCTTGACAAACCACTCTTTGCTCTTTTGATGTTAAAAAATGTTTTGAAGACTAAAATGAAAATTCTGTCATCATTTACTCACCCTCATGTTGCTCTAAATCTGTATGACTTTCTTTCCCCTGTGCAAGACAAAAGATGAATATTTGAAGAATGAGCACCATAAAAGTGATCCATAATACCTATGCACTATATTCCGAGGCTGTATCTGAAATCGCATACTCTCTGAATAGGTACTTATTTTGAATAAAGTACTCAAATGACCATTAATAAATATTGTCTGTATGGTATGAATGTGTGTAGAATGAATGTAATCTTGATGTACTACTTTCAATATGTTGTTGTCACTTCACTATCATTCACAAATCCTCTCCCGTTGGATGAACACTTCAGAATCTCTTCAGAAGTAGTAGGTCATCCGAGGCATTTTTGCCTATGAATAGTGTAAATTCAGCTATATTACTCTATTCACATACAGTTTTTCATCTACTATGCAGAAGGGAAGCATGTGATTTTAGATACTGCCCAAGCCTTCTGAGGCTTCATAGCCATGAACATTTAAGTGAATGAATCTTTTCAGTGCATCATTTGATCCAGTTCAAAACCCGGTCTATACGATTCGTTCACATATCAGAACTGAATCAGTTCTTTATTGTCATCACAATCCGTTTGTCGCGGCGCGACAAAATACTATGGAACTCATTATAATCAGTGATGCTGTCTACACCATAGATATATATGCAGTATCTCACAGAAGTGAGTACACCCCTCACATCTTTGTAAATATTTTATTATATCTTTTCATGTGACAACACTATATACATATCTATGGTCTACACTGGATGCAGCGCAGCATGACACGACAAATCCCCGACAGAAAACTGCTGCTGCGTTCTATTTATGACGTATTGACACAAACTTCAAATTATTTTCAACTGTCGCTTTGTCGCGTCCAGTGTACTAGACAGACTTTAGCTGTTGCGGCGCAGACACGGTGTTTTACTCACCTATCGAGAAGAAACAAAGCAACCTCGGCGTCCGATCGCAGGCCTTCCGCTCCTTGAGTTCTCTCTCCGAAAAGCTGATTCGATATTTACACAGGTCCTACTTCGTGCCTTATTGCCTTAAGCCTTCTTTTGTTCCGCAGACATTTTCCTCTTTTGTTTTTTATCCGCCATCTCTATCTTTCTGTCGCTCAGCTCGGCTAATGTCCGTCCTGTGCACTGAATGCTCTCTCCTCCACATCATGAGTAGACACGCCCCTTACTGCCAATTGGCTACAAGTGTGTTTTGCTAGTCGGCCCGAATCAGTTTTCTAAAGCGTTTTTGAAAAATCGCTTACCCCACCTTTAAACACATTTGAAAGATTGGTAACTGCAATTGTTACCTTCAAGAGCTTTGTTCAAGAGCTTTTGTTTGTATAAATTAAAGTATTTTGCTTGATTCAGTGACATTAAATTATTTTTGACTTGAATAAAACCAGTTAATTTAGATGTTACCCCGTTTAGGTTAGCATTTTTTTCAGTGTAGTTTGAACTATTTTTATGATACTTTTATGGTACTTTGTATACTTTTTGAAGCTTGAAAGCTTCAGACCACATTGACCTCATGTGAAAAAACTATTAGTACATTAATAAAATCCTTTTGGTTTATCCTCTTTTTAAAGTGTAAAAACAAACAAACAAACATACAAAAACACACAATAAACATTCTTTTGTTTTCCACAAAAGTAAGAAAGATGTTTGGGTTTGACATGACGGTGAGTAAATAACGTATCTTCATATGTCTATATCTGAAGTGTGCTCAGTATTCGTGAGCCGTTCGTTTCCCTAAATCACCTTGGCAACATGTCTATGGTTTAGTAAACCAAACAATCCCATTTCCAGATAGATCCACCAGCGTTAGTGGATGGAAAGCTCTCGGCTCTCTAAAGAGCTCACGAATTAGAAACCGTACCTGTGTGCGCAGTGACCACATCATTAAAAATAGATGCTGAACATGCCCTTACATATTTGTGAGGGTGCAAGCATGTGTTTGTGTGTGTGTGTGCATATGACCTGCATTACCCCCCACCTTCCCAAACCCTGGTTACAGTCTTTCGTGTTTTTGACTCATGATTTGCGCCTCAAGGCAGACAGCAGGGGTTCCATTCTTAGCTTCCTGTAAAAAATACCTCCCTACTCCACGTCCTAATTAATCTGAAGGGCATGCCCAAGATCCCTATAAAATCATACGAGACTATACCAATTTCCTGGTAGCTTGTGCCCTACATGTGCTTCTTGTTCATGAGTATAAGTTTTCTTTCCCGTGACTCTACAAAGATTTATGCCTCCTCTTGTTTAATCATTTATGTATGTATTTATTTATTTAAAGTAAAGTTTTCCCTCAGTGAGATTAAGGTGTTATTTTGCACCATACTGAAAAATTCTGTAGATAAGCATAAGGATTTTCCAGGTTTGTTAAAAACATCAGAAACATGTGGCTCTTGCTGTTTTTAGCATATGATATGGTTCACCCAGGTTGTGTCTGTTTTAGGGTATGTGTGTCTGAGAAAATGAGGGATTATATGGAGTGTGTGTGTTTGAGAGTGAGCATATATGCATATTGAGTTACACGAGGCCTAAAACAGTCACAGTCTGAAATGTAAAGAAACATACATTGATTTCTGCAAGCGCTCCACCTCCAGACAAAACGACAAAGCCAGTGAAAGAAATGTCTGCGTGAAACACAGCAGAGCCACGCTGCATATGCTAGAGCTGTGTGTCATGATTACAAAAGCCCAGCATGCACTCCCAAATCAATGGATGAAAAAATTAATACAATCTCGGAGTATTGCTCAATACTTTTTTAAGAATTTGAATATTCTATTAGACATTTTATGTGTTTAAGTATTAGTCAACTGCATTGTATCATGTTGGTCTAAATTAACAGCATTAAAATAGCAAATAAACACTGTTCAGAAGTTTGGTGTTGGTAAGATATTACATTTTTTTTCATTTATTTGTTAAAAAAATACAGTAAAACAGTTACTTACCTAACATTTTTTAACGATAGTAAGTGTCAAATATTCAGTTTGTTGAACATTTGGGACAGATGAAAAATGATGATTACTTTACAAAAAAGAAAAGAAAAAAGGATTGACTTAAAGTTTGTCTCACACTGGCAATCATAAGAAAAAAGAGGGGACTTTAATTTGACCTTCACTTCTTGAAAGGATGTTGATGTCAAAAGGTTTTAATTTAAGCAGTAATTCATAATTTTAGAAAGGGAGATGTTTGCTATCAAAAGGTAATCTGGACACACAATTTAAGTCTTTTTAATAACACATTATTACAAATGAGATCTAAATCTTGAGAGAGAACACAATTATGTATATTTCATCAAAATGTAAATATTTCTACATAAATGTACACCGAGAAATTGGAAAGAAATATTCATAAATGGCACAGTTTTGTAGAATGCCTCATAAATATTTTGTCAGCTAACCTAAAACACTAAACGTCAGTTTTTGTTTTTTTTTTGTAGGTAAAAGGGTCCAGTTAGACAGAATTGGCTGCTTTGAAGTTGTACATTTTCAATTTTACAGTGCAGCCTTCTTCTGGTAAACATGTTGAAAGATGTTAGAACTGAATTTCAGCTGGTTTAGTTTTTAAGTGTTTGGGTATGCTTTATAAGTGATTGAATAAAGGTGCAACGGCGTGATATGAAGGTGGCCTAAGTGCTGCTAAAACAAGAAACACTTCCCTTCTTCTGCCCCATCACAGCATGTGAGGCAGACCAGATCCCGTTCCCGAGAATGTGTGTGTGTGTCTATGTGTGTGTGTGCATGCTTAACTTGTTGTGAACTAGCATGGGCTGTTGCCTCTTATCTGTGCTGTCCCTCAGAGGAGATTAAATTCATCATGACTACAAACTCATTTATTGATTTCCCTGTATGTACATGTTTCAAATTCAAGCCCAATCTTTAGCATTTACTCAGTAAGTAACTTTTTGTTTAAACTCACTCCGAATAAGTTACATACAAACTGCAAGCTCGACACCTTGAGGTGGGTTTCGTGTAACTAGAAGGTTTTTATTGGCCTAAGACCAAGAAGCAGGAAAAGAAGGAACCTTGGCCAGGCCCTAGCAACAGACTACAGGCCTGAGGAAACGACTGTCGTTGGGTAAAGGCGAGAGCTTTGTGCTGACTGATGGATGATGGAGGTGACAGTGTATTGATAAGCAACAGTTTTGACCACAGCAGCGAAAACGCAGAGAGAGAACAATGTATGTAGTCAAAGGGAGGAAATTGGGATGTGCAGTCGTAAAGTCACTCAGTGAAAAAAGAGTGTTGCATTCTCACATCAGTTCTGTGCTGAGAGAGATTGCAAATAGTAAAACTTTCCAGAGAAAAATTTTAGAACTTTATTCCTCATAATTGCAACTTTATTTCTCAATTGTGACTAAATATCTCACAATGTGAATTTATATTTCGCAATTAAGACTTTTGCAATTCTCAGCTGTAATTTTATTTCTTACAATTGTCTGTATGCTTCATAATGTGTCTTTCATATTTTATTTCACAATTGCCTGTTTTATTTTTTTATTATTCTGAGGGAGAAATTGATGAAGATAAATGTAATTTATTTTCAGTACATAATCACTCTGCTAGCCATTGATTAATTTTACACTATTACGTTTTACTTCATTTTACATTTTATGTGTATTTTAAAAATGTAAATAGCTTTGCTGATAGTTTCAACTTTTTAAATAAACCTTTTTATTTGAGATGATAAAAATAGCAGAAAAAAACAGCAGGACATTTTTCATTGAGTTTTTTGGCACATGATATATGTTTATTATGTATATTAATAATATTTTTTCTTAATAATAATAATAATAATAATAATGATAGTTATTATTATTATTATTATAATTTGAATTATTATAAAAAAAACAATTTATGTTCATGTTTAAATTTTCAACTTTAAAATTAAAATAAATTTCCTAAACATTTGAACTGTGCTTTCTAAACTACAGCAAAGCTGTCAAAAAAAAAAAAAGCTACATTATTCCACATTTAACAATCACATTTACATTCACAGGAAGCACCCGCTAATTAAGCATTTGTTCAAACAGGCAACGTGTGACCGCTGATGTGAGCAAGACGGCTATAGGAAACCCTCCTATTACTCATAGGCGTGCTGTGTTTCATGAAATCTAGTCACTGGAGTTTTAAGTAAGTCTTTATGCAGTCAAAGGTTAGATATTTCAGAGGGCACTAATCAGGCCGTGTTCTCCATTTCCTCCCCGTCCGTTTCTTCCTCTCACCTAGCAGCTGCATTCTGTAAGTCTAGCCTTGCACTGTAACGCTGCATCCCTTTCATCTCATGTCCTCATTAGCATCGCAAAGACTTGTGCGTAGTTAAGGTTGCTCACGGAGAAGGGGCTGGCCAGGCAAGGAGGGAATACTCATATAACAGTCCAATAAATATCAGGTCTGCGTTTAATGGTTCTGAAGCATATTTGCTATTTGTTGGGAACACTAAACCAAGGAAGGGTCCTGGCGAAGTGCTGGGGTGGTGCTCCTTTCTGGGTCAGTTAGAACACTGAGGAAATCCACCATGACATTAACAGGCTGCTATAGGAAGTGTTGTTGGATTAAACCAACGTAGCGCTGGCGGGCTGCTGGAAAGGAGGGGGTTGGGAAATTATGGAGGCTGGGGTGAGAGTTTGATCTTGGAGTTAGTGCCGAATATTGGCTTGGGTGCATATGATGCAGATTTTGTGAACTTGGAGGCCCCGACTACAAGTGTCTCTGTTAGCGAGAGGTGACTCATAGGTGTGGCCCGATTCCTGTTCCTCTTTGTGGCACAATTATGCCCCAGGCACAGGGCATGTCATCGATTGGAGACGACCGAGTGCAAGGGTGAATCACTGATGGCTGAGTGCCGAATGTCTGCTAGTCTGTCTGTCTGTCCAGTGTCACCAATAATGACAATCATCTTCACTCAAAGTTACAACACTGAGCCAACTGAATTCCACTTATTTTCTGTGACTTTACTCATTGCCTGGCCCATTGCTTCCCAGTACTTCTTGTTTCTCAGGGTTAAACAGCAGGTAAGCAGTTTAACATACTGTTTAAATCGTAACAAAAAATTTCATAAAATGTACTCAGAATTGATTCCTATATTATGAGTATGACATTGGCATATTGCTAAGCAATATGAAAACAACAAACTAATAAAAATACATAGCTTACACAAGTATTATAGTCAAAATAGGCAATAGTCACTTTTTTATTGTTGTTTTTGGTATCAAATTAATTTTAAACATGTTTACAATCTGTCCACAATCTTGATTTTTTAAAAGCTTTTTCTGAGCTCTTTGCAGTGCAATGTAAAATTGTCTTCTTTGCAAGGATACATGCGGTATTGTCTTAAAATGTGTTGCTAAAATGAAGTATCTGTTACTTAACATACTTATTTGGAACAGCTTTCATGTCTCACTACATTTTGGATCACAGCTATTGTCGCTTGTCTTACAGACATAGTCATGACAGCAAAAGCTAAAGTCTTTTATCCTGCTTATAGCGTTGCAGTGTTCCCCTTCTTTCTTTTAAAGGCAAACAAATGGAAATAGCCGGATATGGAATTGGAATGGGAATAATCATCATATGTTACGCTGACAGATGCAATAATTATATAACTAAGGCTGCTTGATTAATACCTCAATCTTGCGTAACTGCTTTTGTGGCCCAAATACCATTTTGCTTCCATAAAGGCCTTTTTCAGAATCTTTGCTTTTCTAATAAAAGTCCAGGGCCTGGTTGCGACAAACCCTTTAGCTGAGAAAACCCTTAGTTATAATAGTAAGAGAAACACAACAGAAGATATTTTCAAGAATGTTTCTACTATTTTTGTGCATAAAATCAGTCAATGGGGCCCAAAACAATATTGGAGCCCACTGACTATCACTGTATGGACAAAAACAGACTTCTTTTGTGTTCTGTAAGGAAAGTTGTACAGGTTTGGAATGCCATGAGGGTGAATGAGTTTTCATTTTTAGTTGAACTATCCCTTTAAGGAGTTTGTTTCAATTGGTTGAAGCTCTTTGTCCTTTAACTTGGGTCAGAAAAAGCTGGAATGTTCTGGAAGGAGCTCACGGAAGCGAGGCTATCAGCTCGTGAGCCCCTCCACAGCCTGCTTCCACCCGGCCAGCCTGCCGCCCAACATCCAAGGTGATGATTACAGTTTGATAAGGCCCACGAGGGTCCAGGGCTCAGGCAATAGAGCCCAGAGGGAGAGAGCGTGGGGGCCTGTAGGCTTGAGTAGACGCCCCCTCATAGCTGTCTCTCATCACGCCATTGACCCCCCAGGAAGCTTTAGATGCCAGAAGCGGTTTCATAATTCTCTTATCCCGACGAATCTGCGAGATAAGCTAGGAGGAGTTGAAAGTGTAAACGGAGCACCACGAATCTGGAATCCTGTTGCAGGCTCATTCTTTACCAGCCCGCCAGCATCGTTTACAGCCAGCATCCTCCCCCTTTGCAAAGACATAGAAGTACGGCTGCAGGTCTGTGTTTTTCAGTTTTTTGTGTTTGTGTGTGTGTGGTGTGCCTCTGTCCTTTCGGCCGTCCCTACAGCCCTCATCAGGACCCTTCCGCCTGGCCCGTTCAGATAGTCGGAAATTTGATTGATCTGTGAAAAAAGAAAGAATGAAGAAAAGAGGGAGCGAAAGGCTTTGGTCACATCCTGTGACCGGTGCTGATTTCATTTGCCTGAATGTAGCCCTGGAGTATATCTCGGGCTCAGTGTCACATTTGTATATGTTTCCAAAGATCACTAAGAAAAGTGAGTGGTGTGGGGGGTGGCGGGCGCAGACCTGTGCAAGTTTAAAGCGTGGTCCTTTCTCTGACATAAATCTGTGTCATGGAGAGCGGATGTAGCTACTGGGGAATGCGTTAATTGATCCAAAGATCAAATGAATCGTACAATGGTTTAAAACCAGTTTTTTTAACCAGGGCTCTCTGAATGTACTATAGTGAATGTCCATGGAGAAGATATATAAAACATAAGGACTTTTCTTGTCAAAGGTTTGTAACTGTTTGAATGAACATTAATTTATGACCTGATGAGTATTATATGATGATTTTAGTTGATGTTTTTAATGATCATTTTCATGAAAATCTAGCTTTGCTTAGGGGGTCCCTGTGTTGGCTGAATGTCTGGGTAAGGGGTCCCTCAGTTTGTACAGGTTGAAAACCCCTCATTTGCCTGCTGGTTTTAGATGGTTCAAGCTGCCCAAAAGTGGCTACGTTTACATACAACTAGTGTTCATTTTGTCAGCTATTTTCATTTTAGTCTTAAGTCTTTAGTCTTAGTCCCGGGCTAAAATGTCCTTGTTAGTTTTTATCATATTTAGTCAACCTTATCCTATTTAGTTTTAGTCCAAGTTTTAGTCGACTAAAAGTCTCAACATTTTAATCTAGTTTTAGTCCAAGAAAATCTAAAGTATTTTAGTCTAGTTTTAGTCAATAAAAACTTTACATTTTAGCAATAAGATTATTATTAATTAACCGTACGTCAGTATTAAT